TGGATTGGCTGTGGTGATGGGTATGAATATATACAGTTGCAAAAATGCATCAAACTGTACACTTAAAATGGGTGTGTTGTATTTTATGTGAAGTTGATGTAAAAATACAGGTTTTTAAAGATGAGGGATCTTACCTGAACCTCACCACCAACTAGCTGTATGCTAGTTGTGTCCTTCTTGGGAAAGGAACTTAATCTTTCTGATGATAGGTTGCTCGCCTACCTCATTCAGTCATTGAGCGAATACAGATGAAATCATTTATTTTGAAATGCCTTTAGAATAAGTCGTATACACATGCTGGGTGGGAGGAATATTGCATATACTCGTCTAGAAGACGAGAACTGTGGTAGTGAATGTCTGAGCTACTATATATATATATATATATATATATATATATATATATATATATGTTGGAATTCATTTGCAAATAATCTTTTAACTTTGTGGAACATGAGTTGTGTCACTTCCCCTCCTTGGCCTTGAGTAAAATGAAGGAGTTAGACTAGATTAGACGTAGAAAACTGGAGGCTTGGAGATTATCTAAAACTTTTCAGGTGTGTTTTCTTTAGCTTCTACACTATGGTGACCTGAACAGCATTAATTTAAAAGGTGACTTGTTGCCAGTGTTTAAATGTGGAAATTTCACATACAATTTTGGGTTTCTAGCTCATCTTTAGAAATTAGCAGATCTGACAACCAGGTCCATATTCCCACATGGCAACAATGTTCTGGAGTTGCATGGTGGCCATCCCATTACATGAGCCATCACATTAGTTTCCCATATTCTCTACCTCTATCTGTGTGTTTTTTGTCCTGTGTAGAAACTTTAAGTGGAAAGTCAGTTCATTTTTTAATGCTTACTGTATGTTAGACACTGTAATGACAATGCAGAGACAAACTAAATGGACAAAACCTCTAAACTCATGCTGAGCTATAAATAGCCGTCCACATCTCCATCAACAATTAGGGGGAGAAAGTTAGACCAAAAATGCTGTGTATTCTAGGGAAAATGGGAGAAAGCATGTTTTCTTGTGGACGTAAAAAAAAATTCCTGCATATTTAATAGGCAGAGCATGTCTGTGTCAAAATTATCCTGCCTCCTTCACTTGCTTGCTTCACATAATAGATCATATCCTTTTTATGATTCAATGGATTCGTGGATGAGATTATCTGAGTGTTTCAAAAAATGCCAGTAGGCGGAGAGACTGACACAGGTTACTGAATGTTAGATTTTCTTACCTCTGTCCAAACCGTTAGATTTTCCCATTTAGCCAAGATCTTGGGATACAACTCAGGCTGAAATAAACATCTCTGTTGACAGTCTTCTCTGTTGACAGCCTCCTTCCATAATAGCCTGAACCCTCTTAAGCTCTGGCTGAGAATCTCATCACCCTGATCCATGTGACAGGGCTGTGCACGAGAAGTATCTTGAATGGCACTATCTCCCCTCTTCTAAACCAGTAGTTTACATTTCCATTTGGTCTACTACATAGTGATAGTAACCAACATCTTTAGACTGACGAATCCTGTTAGGCGTGGATTTTGATCTCATGATCTAAACGCTTCTCTTCTGCAGATAAGCCCTTTTATAGGCATAGATGCTTGACAATGTCGCTTCATCTGTGTTAAGCAAAGTGATTCATTGTTTTGCTTTTAGATTTATCATGGTCATAGGCTTTGAGAATCTGGGCTGGCTCTTGTCAGCCATTGTGCTTACTGGATTGCGTCGAAGGCGACTGACCCATTTCTTCAGTCCTGGCTGAAAAGGTCATCTTGCTACCTACGAAGAAAACTACACTGCTCCCATCTGGTGGTAGTTATCTCAAATTGCAGCAGCCAAAAGAATTGCCTTTCCTTCAGTGGTGTCAGGCACTGAGCTGTAGGAAATACCTATTCCCACCTTTTGTTTCACAACACTGTCAGCTGTTTCCTTATTACCTAAAGGGTATCACATGGTTTTTCTCGGAACGTGAACCACTCCAGCTTCTGCTCATGACTAGCCATAGGACTCCTAAGTCTCACTTGGTTTTTCCACACATAAAGCAAAACACTTGGACTTAATGCTCTCTAGGAGTACTACTCTTGTGAAGTCTGTAATTCTGTGATTTTTTTTAAAAAAAATTCAAAATATCAATGAAATGAATCCCACTTACAGTATTTACAAAACAATTATGAACATACATGGAAATTTTGTAATTTACACTATCATTTTCTTCTTCTTCAATTCTAATTAATTATAAGATAACATCATGGATTTAATAACTTTGGTGGGGGTGGAGAATAAAAAGATAAATACCACTGCATTAAATGCACATGTTTATTACAAGACATTCTGAAACCCTAAAAAGCAAAATGTAAAAAATATACATTTTAGAATTGAAGTGCGTGTGTGTGTGTGTTTAAAAAACTTCTGAGTGTCAATGCTACTTTTGAAAGTGGAAAATGTTGTTGAGGTACAAAGATCAGAGAGATGACAGTTAAAGTTTCATGGTAAATTTTAGAGTTTATTTGAATATTGAGGAACATTGTAAAAAGAAATATACAAACATGCAGTCTCTGGTATCATTTCTACAGTCCACATTTGGAACTGAAGCTCATTAAATTTTTTTTTTTACAAAATTATGTGTATATTTTATGAAAACATGCAATAGTGTTTTGTGATTAAGGCTCGTTATGGTTACAAGGAACAAAAACCTGCTCAAGCTAACTTGAAAAGAATAACTATGTAAAGATACAGTAGGAAATGCCATGGACTTCAACAGACAGGTACTGGAGTGCCGCTGAGCCTTAGGGGAATTAAAAGGGCATAATCAGGACCCAAGTCTTTATTTCTCAGAGGCCAGAGATCTCTATAATGGCTGTTTATTGATCTGTATCAATTTTGCATGTGGCTTCTAGCCCGGTACTACATCATAACCTCAACTCAAATTCCCATACTGAAGACTTCCTTCTGTGTTCAACTCTATACAATTTACAATTAGTGACCACCTCTGTGCAAGAGTAGCATAGTGATTATTATTATTACTATTTATTATTATTATTTTGCTGCGCAGGGTCAGTGGACAGGATATTCAAGCTAAATGATGACAATGTATAAGGCAGGCAGATCAACTGAGTCTCCAGTGTAACTGCTCCTCGTTCCAAAGCCTTCAACTTTGACAGCTTTGCCTCACCTTTTCTATCTAACTCGTCTCACCAATGGCATTGAAGACCTCATACAGTGCTTTGGGAGTGAGGTTGAGGTTAGGGTTCTAAGAATTTGGGGAATGCCATGGTACAGCAAATTTAGAGCATGTGAGAATGCCTATAGAGTTATATAAATTTCTTTTTTCGAGACAGGGTCTCTTTCACCCAGGCTGGAGTGCAGTGGTGCAGTCACAGCTCCCTGCTACCTCTGCCTCCCAGGCTTACGCCATCCTCCCACCTCAACCTTCCGAGTAGCTGGGACCACAGGTGCACGGCACCATGCCTAGCTAATTTTTGTATTTTTTGTAGAGACAGGGTTTCACCAAGTTCCAAGGCTGGTCTTGAACTCCTGAGCTCAAGCAATCTGCCTGCCTCGGTCTCCCAAAGTTCTGGGATTACAGGCGTAAGCCACCATACCTGACTTATAAATTTCTAGTAATGAATCGTAAACTGTCTTTTAGAGAAAGGTCAGTGTGAACATTAAAAAGTCTCCCCAGGCCGGGTGCGGTGGCTCACGCCTATGATCCCAGCACTTTGGGAGGCCGAGGCAGGTGGATCACGAGGTCAAGAGATCAAGACCATCCTGGTCAACATGGTGGAACCCTGTCTCTACTAAAAATACAAAAATTAGCTGGGCATGGTGGCGAGCGCCTGTAGTCCCAGCTACTCGGGAGGCTGAGGCAGGAGAATTGCTTGAACCCAGGAGGCGGAGGTTGCGGTGAGCCGAGATCATGCCATTGCACTCCAGCCTGGGTAACAAGAGTGAAACTGTGTCTCAAAAAAAAAAGTCTCCCCAATAATTGTGTCATACTTTCCTAGTGTTTGCTACTTGAAATAGCACTCTCTTGCCCATACCATGTATCTTTTCAATAGCTCAGCAGGTAGAGAGGGCAGGAGGAATCTTTAGGTCTGATGTTAGATTTGAATCGAGTAATAGGATGAGAAGAAAAGAAGAGGAGATTCTTCAAATTAATTGACAACTATTTATAATAGCAATTAGTGAAATAATTTCCTAGCCTCTCTGCTATGAGGGAAAGTGTGCAGCACTTATGTTTTTAAAAATGTTTTTGGTTTGAATCAGATCTCTTTGAGACCCTGTATTCTTCAGCTGGTAATTGTTTTAAAGGGAAAAATAACACAAAATCTCACAGACTTGTGGTAAGAATTAAACGAGAACATAAAAGTTCCTAAGACCAGGCCAGGTACCGTGGCTCATGCTTGTAATCCCAGCACTGTGGTAGGCCAAGGTGGGAGCCCAGGAGTTCAAGACCAGCCTGGGCAACATAGCAAAACCACTTCTCTACAAAAAAGTACAAAAATTATCCAGGAGTGGTGGTGTACACCTGTAGACCCAGCTACTTGGGAGGCCAAGGTGGGAGGATTGATTGAGCCCAGGAGGTCAAGGCTGCAGTGAGCTGTGATCATGCCACTTCATGCCAGTCTGGGCCACAGAGGGAGACTCTGTCCAAAAAAAAAGAAAATGTACCTAGGACAGTAGTTGTAATGTAATTGGGGGTTTTCTTCCCCCATTTATCTCTTTATTTGTAGGTTATTTGAAAAATAATTACTATTCTTTTGTTATCCTGAGATAGGTGTTTGAGAACAGTTTCTCTGACTCTTGCCACCCACTCCCACAAGTAATATCTCTGAGTTCTGAGAATCTAAGAATGTGTTCTACTACAGGCTAGCCCTAAAGGCTGGCTGGCAGTGGAATCAGTACCATTAGCAGTGACAGTGGCAACCTGCAGCCTCCATAGTCATCTGACTGACGTTTTGAACATTGACTCAAAAGAGCTTGTGTGTTTCTCTCACAGGTGGATTTGCTATTGTATTTCTGGTGAGGACAAGCAATGGGATGAAATGTGCCTTGAAACGCATGTTTGTCAACAATGAGCATGATCTCCAGGTGTGCAAGAGAGAAATCCAGATAATGGTAAGGCTGGCCCTTGGACTTGGGACTGTTTAAAATGGGGGCAGAGACTGTACCTTCTAAGAAAGCCAAGCAAGCCTTGTTCCCTTCCCTGAGATGGCGGAGAGGCCTCTCGACAAGCTGGGACTGAGCAGCCATGGGATGTAGGACACCACCCTTGCCTTGGTCACTCTCAGCTAGAGGGCAGGGAAGAAAGGAACATAGTGAGAGAACTGACCAGTTTTTAGGTCAGAAATATCATTTGGGGCATTGGGAAAAGCTTACTTAACAACCTGGTTCCCAGAAATTAACTGTGGTATTTAATCCTGAAAGCCTAACTTTCCAATGAGCCTCCTCTTCTGGTCTTGTCTCTCTCAATACCAATCCCCAGTCTCAGTTCAACCCTCCTGGACTCTTGAACATTCCTGGGAATATATCCTTATACAACTTAATATTTTTACATGTAGTTTTTTCGACCTGGAATGCTTTCCCCCTTTTTTGGCCTGGAAACTTAGACCAAAACCTAGAAACCTCATATATACTTTATGAATCTATTTATAGAAGTCCAAGAACAGGCAAAATTATCTATAGAAATCAGAAAGTGGTTATTTAGGGGTGGGAAATTGGCTAGAAAGGGGTATACGGGGACTTTCTAGGCCATGGAAATGTTCTGTGCCTTGTTTTAGATAGTGGTTACACAGGGTATATACGTGTCAAAACTCAAACACCTTAAAATCTCTGCATTTTATTATGTTAATTAGACTTCAGTTCTTAAAACATACTCATTTTTTCAAGATGCAGATTTATATGTTGAAAGAAAGAGACCCTATGTGTTAGGTATACATGCTGAAATATGTGTGGAGGAAATAATGTAATGTCCTTAGAACAATGAGTGGGTTTAGAAGATAAACAAGTTGTTAGAGTAGCATCTTTCTTTTACCTTTGTTTGACATTATACGTAATAAGAAACTTTAAATATATAGTCTTTTATTCCTTTGTGCTTCCACAGTGCTTTTGTTTTATACCAATTATATTGGTTAACCTGTTATGTTGTAAGCAGTTCTGCTGTCAGGAAGTAAGTTATTTAAAATTAGAAATTGTATGCTCCAACACACTGCTTGACATGAAGTAAATGCTTAATAAACTTTAGAAGAAATGCGCATTCGAATAATGGTAGTAGCAGATACTTATGTTCACCTAGAGATGGTGATTGCTTTTATGTCCTGGATTTTAATGCTTTTTAAAGAGCAGAAAGAGATCCAAAAATGGAGAGGGTGGCATTGTAGGTATTCCACCAGGCTCCGCTTGCGCTGTTCACCCTATGTAGAGTCAACTTTTCAGTGGCTGCTTAGAGTAACTAGTTAGGCTGCAGTTGGTCTACTGAAAGTACTCAGAATGTTAGAGAGCCTGGCACTACTCTACATTTTAGAAAGCCAAAACTATTTGGGAAGGAACTGTCAACATTACACAACAAACCAACCAACTCCCAAGACTCACATATATATACACACAGTCAAGATCACGTGGGCCTGTCTGTAAGTCACCAACGCCTTCCACTCCCTTGCACAATGCTCCAGACTCCTGTTCTTGCTGTATCTTCCTTCATACACGCGGTGAGTTTTCTGGGTGCTTCTTGTTATTTGTCTTCCTCCCTCCTTGCGCCATGCTTGTTCAGCTCTCACACACTTTATTTCCTGTCGTTACTTCTGCTGTTTCCTCTCTCTGGAATGCCCTTCTTGCTCATTTTCTTGTGTTACAAAAGCAATCCCATGATTTCACTTTCTCCTCCTTGTTTAAAAACACAATGAGAGCTTAGTGTGCTAGGCAGGCATTGCAGTGGAGGAACTACGGAGCCCAGGCCCATGAGGAGCTCACAAATTAATGGGCCTCATTAGGAGTTAAATCACACAGGTTCAAGTTCTGGCCCAGACCTGTATTAGCTTTGAGAGTTTTTAGTTTATATTCTTTCAAAGCTTAAATATTCAAATAGGTGAACTACGCTTGTTACAAAAAACATCAAGCAGTTCCCTGAGGGGACCTCCTATGCCATTACAAGGTCCCAGAGGCAACCACTTTAGGTGATTCTTTTGATGTATTTCTAAATAACATGCTAATATTGCTAGTTCTTGATTTTTCTTCCATTTTAGGCATTATCTTCTATGGGAAGTAAAGACGTAATGTCACATATCCGCTGCTTGTATCTCTCTCCAAATACTTGCAGTATTCTCATCTTCCGTTTTTCCAAAACACCAGCCAAGTTTGGCTATGTGCTGTTTATATGAATATTAGTTTTTGCATTATTACGTAAGAAAACTATTTCAAGTGAATCTCCTGGTGGACCGTGATTCTTATGCCTTTCCTATATAACATTGCTTTCACTAGAGTTGATAATTGTCTTGTTTTCCCTCTCTTGGTCTGAGTTTTCTTTGTGCTTTTAAACAGTTTAATTCCCAATTTTCTTCAAGTTGTATAAATCATTTTTTGAAATTTTTAGACACATTTAATGGTGTTTGTTTTATCATCTTCAAGATTTCTCCCTCGGTCTTCTGACTAAGAAATCTGGCTGGTTGTTCTCTAGGCCTAACTTACAGTTTAATCTTGGAATCTCCTGGGCATTTCCTCTGCTTCTCTTTTTTGTTAGTACCCCTAATTCATCTTTCAGCTAACTTCCTCATTTTGTTGGAGCTGATCCTCCAGTGTCTTTTTTCTTTTTGAGATGGGGTCTCACTTAGTTACCCAAGCTGGAGTGTAGTGGCACAATTATAGCCCACTGCAGCCTCCATCTCCTGGGCTCGAGCAATTCTCCTGCCCCAGATTCCTGAGTAGCTGAGACTATAGGCACATGCCACCAGACCCAGCCAAGTAGAGATAAGGTCTTGCTATGTTGCCCAGGTGGGTCTCACACTCTTGAGCTCAAGTGATCCTCCCATCTCAGCCTCCCAAAGTGCTGGGATTACAGGCATGAGCCACTATGCCCAGCCTCAGTAGCTTTTTGATACATAATAGATACATTTTTTAGAACTTTCAAGTCTAGAAGTATCTTTATGTTATGTTCATACATCATAGTCTGAGTAGAAAATTCCAAGTTGGAAATAATTGCAATTAGATTATTTAAAGCACTGTTCTACTATGTTTTAGCTTTCAGTGTTGCTCTTGGGAAATTCTAAGTCATTCTAATGCCTAGTCCTTTGAAAGTGGCCCATATTGTCTACCTAGAAATTTACAAATTTTCTCTTTGTTTCTAGTGTTCTGAAATTTCTTGATACACCTTGGTTTATGCATTTATTTATTATCTTAGGTGTTTGGTGGTCCTTTTCATCTAGAAATTCATATCCTTGCATTCTGGAGAATTTTTTTAGTTTCATTTTTCCCCTTTTTCTGAAATTCCTAAAATTTGGATGTTGGTTTTCCTGACTTGATTTTCTAATTTTCTTGATTTCTCCCTTCTGTTTTTTATTTCTTTGTCGTTTTGCTCCACGTTCCAGATTTCCTCAGCTCTATATTCCAACCATCCTGTTGAATTTTATTTCCCAGACTTTTAAATCTCTGAGATCTTTTTTGTTTTAGACACATTTAATGGTGCCTGTTTTATTTTTAATTTCGATAAAGTCCAGTTTATCAATTGTTCTTTTTATGGATTGTGCTTTCGGTGTCGAACCTAAGAAATCTTTGCCTAGCTCTCAGTTCTGAAGATTTTTTTTTTTAGTTTTATAGTTTTACATTTAAACCTGTCATCCATTTTTAGTGTATGTGTGTGTGTGTTTGTTTTTGAGATGGAGTTTCCTTGCCCTGACACCCAGGCTGGAATGCAGTGGCGCAATCTCAGCTCACTGCAACTTCTGCCTCCTGGGTTCAAGTGATCCTCCTGATTAGTTGGGATTACAGGCACACGCAACTATGCCTGGCTAATTTTTGTATTTTTAGTAGAGACGGGGTTTCACTACATTGGTCAGGCTGGTCCTAAACTCCTGACCTAAAGTGATCTGCCTGCCTGAGCCTCCCAAAGTGCTGGGATTACAGGCTTGAGCCACTATGCCTGGCCTTTTTGACTTAATTTTTACATAAGATATGAGACTTAGGTTGCAGTTCATTTTTCCCTTGTGGTTTTCTGATTGCCTTTAGCACCATTTATTGAAAAGACTGTCTAACCTCCATTGAAAATCTTTGTTAAAAATCAGCTGAACTTAATTGTGAGGGTCCATTTCCAGGCCTTTGTCTATTCTCTTCCATTAATCTGTGTACCTATCCTTCTACCAGTACCACACAGCCTTGATTACTGTAGCTATATATGTTTTTAGAATGGACTGAATCCTCCCACTTCTTTTTTTTTTTTAATTTCTTACTGTTTTAAATCTGAAGTCTGATGTGATGTTTTTAAGCCCACCTTAAGTCTCAGACTTCTGTCAGATGGAAACCATAGCCCCAGCCCTGCCTCTCTCAGTGATTGTAAGAATTGTGAAGGGAATTAGAAGATGTAACATGCTGTCTAATACGCTGAGAGTTGTGTGTTGATACTCAAAGAACCGGATTCCTCTCTGTACTTTCAGTGAAGGAGAGACAGGCATGTTGCATCCAAATGCAAAGAGAACTGTTTGCGATTTCACTGAGTGGTTTCAGGTTTTATTTTGATAAATTCTGTCCACTATGTACTGGAGTCTGGTCTGAGTTCTTTGATCTAGCTGGGATGTGTGCTCTGATACCGTCAGAGGGATCTGCCCTCTGACGGACAGTTGGAAGGTGGGTTTTGGACTTCTGATCCCTTTGCCTGAAAGCAGGAGAAGATTAATTATCTTCAGACCTAAAGGGGTAAGAACAGTGATAGGAAATAGCTAGAGGTCCAGATGTGTCAAGGCTATTCCGTGTTCACATCTCCTGGCTCAGATGGATTACATCCTCATTGAGCTTGATAATGAGGACACTAAGCTGCCACCAGTTATGTTTGAGGATTTGCTTCGAACAGAAGAGATCAGATGATTCAAAGCAGACAAATGTTTTCTTATTCCACAAAGGGTAGAAGATAGATCCTGTACAGTAGGAAGCTCAGGATTGTTCTGGGACAAGAATCTGGAACAGATTATTTTATTTTTTTCTTCAACTTTTACGTTCTAGGGTACATATGCAGGATGTGCAGGTTTGTTACGTAGGTAAATGTGTGCCATGGTGGTTTGCTGCACAGATCAACCCATCACCTAGATATTAAGCCCAGCATCCATTAGCTATTCTTCCTGATGCTCTCCCTCCTCCCACCACCCCCAGAGGCCCCATCGTGTGTCGTTCCCTGCTATGTGTCCATGTGTTCTCATCATTCAGCTCCCACTTATAAGTGATAACACAGATTATTTTCAAAGATGCTTTGATGATTTTTTTGTGTAAGAAAGTTTGTGTGTGTGTGTGTGTGTGTGTGTGTGTGTGTGTGTATCTATATAATGCATATTGTTTGAATTTGCCTGAAAAAAACACAGGAAGCATGAAAGAAAGAAACAATAAAAGTGGTTCTCTATAGGGGATGGGGATTGGAGTAGGAAAAAGATTGTCTAGTATTATGTGCTATTTGAAAGTTACTATATTACACATTTTAAAAATGAATGATGGCTGGTGCAGTGGCTCACGCCTGTCATCTCAACACTTTGGGAGGCCAAGATGGGTGAATCATTTAAGGTCAGGTGTTCGGGACTAGCCTGTCCAACATGGTGAAACCCCATCTCTACTGAAAATACAAAAATTAGCTGGGCGTGGTGGTGTATACCTGTAATCCCAGCTACTCAGGAGGCTGAGGCAGGAGAATCACTTGAGCCCGGGAGTTGGAGGTTGCAGTGAGCCAAGATTGTGCCACTGTACTCCAGACTGGGTAACAGAGCAAGACTTTGTATTCAATAAATAAATAAATAAGTAAATAAATAATTTAAAATTTATACAAACGAATGACATTTTAAACCGTTTTGTAGTCATTTGTATGAGTAAGCAGAGATCCAAAGAGCCTTCAGGTTCAATAAGAACAAACCATGTCATAACAACATCCTGTTCTCCTTTGGGAAGGCATCTGGATAGAGAGCTCAGTGGGATGCAGTAGATCCAGTATATGTGGACTTTGGCCAGCTGTTTGGATAAGGACACTCACCAGCCATCTGTCAGCAAAATAGAGAGTCTAGGCTGGATGCTAATATATTTAGATGTAATTGCTACTGATTATAAAGATTTCTGATAAGTGGTTTGATATTAATCTGGAGGAAACTTTCAAAAAAGAAAGCATTGTGGCTTACCGTTAACTTTATGTTATTTTACATTTAACAAACAACTTGGTTAAATAAATAGAAAATACATTGATCAATTATGTACCTTTGTAAAGCTGGAAGATGTAACAACTGCATTGAGTCATAGAATCAGGCTCTAAAATGGTTCTTACAAATTGGAGCAGTGGACTGATTCTAATGAAATGAAATAATAAGGTAAAATCATACACTTGAAATTGTATTCTAATCAATTTTACAAGGATAGTTTTCCCTGAAAATCACATTTTGACTAATACTCATCATAATTCCAGTACTCTAAATAATAGTTGTAGGCAAGGGCAGCAAAGCATCTTTCCCTCATCTTGCCTTTTTCTGAGTAAGCAGGTTGTAGCTGAGGTATTCCCTATGTGGTTCCATTCTATACCTCTACATCCATTTCTGTATTGTAAGCCTGGGGCTGGTCTTTTAACCAAAATCAGAGGACAGCTTGGAACACTCTGGCCTGTTGCTGCTGAGAACAGGGCAGGAGCTACTGCCAGTGTACCTTAAATGTGAGTCAGTCTCAACTTGTGGTAAGATTTTCTCTTGGCCTTTTTCTATATTTCACAGCCATTCAAACAGATCTTCTCCGTCAGAGTTATAAACTAGTGGGGTTTTACTCTAAAATCTGAGATATTGCTGTGTCATCAGGTCATTAAAGCCAAATGCCATTGTGTCTCTGCAAAGAGGGGGTCTTTTCTGCTTAGACATAGCTCAGGATCTCTGCAGAAGACAAAGGAACAGTAGTTTGGACTTGAACTGTTTAGCAAACATCTTGACAAACTGCAGGGTGCCATCTGCAGATGTTAATTATCCAGTTTTGATCCTTTAGTGCCTCTTTAGATTGGCTTGTGTTACTCTATCTGTATTACTTTAACAAAATACCTGAGACTTGGATAATTTATAAAGAACAGAAATTTATTTTCTTATTGTTCTAGAGGGTAAGAAGCCCAAGATCATCATGGTGCTGACAGGTTCAGTGTCTGGTAAAGGCCTGGTCCCTGCTTTCAAGATGGTGCCATGAGTGCTGCTTTCTCTGGAGGGAATGTTTTGTCTTTACATGGTGGAAGGCAGAAGGGCTAAAGAGCCTAGTTAGTTCCCTCCAGCCCTTTTATAAAATTGCTTATCCCATTCATGAGGGTTTTACCCTCATGATTTAATCACCTCCTAAAGGCCTCACTGCTTAATACTATTGCATATGGGATTTAAGGTTTGTTTGTTTTTTGAGATGCAGTCTCACTTTGTCACCCAGGCTGGAGTGCACTGGTATGGTTTTGACTCAGTGCAACCTCCGCCTCCCAGGTTCAAGTGTTTTCTGTTGCCTAAGCCTCCCCTGTAGCTGGGGCTACAGGCATGTGCCACCGCACCTGGATAATTTTTGTATTTTTAGTAGAGATGCAGTTTCACTATGTTGGCCAGGCTGGTCTCGAACTCCTGGCCTCGATCTGCCTGACTTGGCCTCCCAAAATGCTGGGGTTACAGGTGTGAGCCACCGCACCTGACCTGGGATTTAAGTTTTAACATGAATTTTGGAGGGGACACACACCTTCAAACCATAGCATGGTTCTACCAATATTTTTTTCTTTCTTCCAGTTGCTTTATTATTCTTAGGATGAAACCAGCTCAGAGGCAACATTGCCGATTCTTTTTCAAATAGTTAAATATAGAGATGTGAGTCTTTCATTCATCTTTGTGAATATTTGGAGGATATGATTTGCTTTATTTTGGTTTCAAAGAGCTTCTCTCCAGTTCTTCCTACCTTCAGGAATATGTAAATGGAAATGAGTTCTAGATGGGTTGATGATGAGATGGAAAAACAGAGGGAAGGGTAGGCCACTAAAATGTGAGCCCCACAATCACTCTGTTTGGGAAAAACTTGAATTCTAGAGACTGCATGTCAGCTTCATCATCTCCCTTCTCTTATCCAGAGCAGATGCTGTAAGTCTTTTGTCTCATCAAGCTTCTTTGTCATTCCTATACATTTAGGAAATGACCTTGTTCTCTACCGAAAATAAAACAACAGATCTGAACTCACTTGAATTCTCTTTTTCTTCCACCTTAAACCAACATGCATAGCCATCCTCATTTCCTTCCTGCTTGCCAGGAAAAAAAAAAAAAAAAAGTTATTCTAAGACCAGTCCTTTGAACAGTACTCTTAATCTCACCCTTCTATTTACAGAACTTTTTCTGTCAATTATCATCATCCTCTCCTGTATCTTAAAGCTCTCTTCTCTTGGCTCCTTCCTTTCTCTGGTGCTCAGTTTTCTCCCATCCTAAACACCCTTTTTCTCAGTGCTGCTGCCGTAGGCACAAATGTTCTGCAAGAGTAATCTGTAGGCCCTGGCTCTACTTGCCCAATTCCCTTTCTTTGCAAGTCCAGTTTCATTCTCACCACCATCCCATCCGTTCTCTGAAACTACTCTCAAATAAGTCTCCAGGGACTTGCATCTGCTAATTCCAAAGCCTTTCTATTCTGTCTGCCCTTGTGTTGCATCTACCATTTCTGAGGCAATAGGTATTCACAATCCATCACTCAGAGGAAGACTCTAATGAGTTTTAACTTTGATGCCCAGGGTTCAGGTTTGTTCACTTCATACCATGGTGGTTTCTTTTGTTTTGTTATAAAATTTGTTTTCAACTTTAAACAGTTGAATCTCTAATTAGAGTGGTGGTAGTTTCTGTTCTCACAGTCCAAATTGCCAAGTTTGTATGGTGATTGTCATGAGGCCACATGTTTTCTACTCCTTCCCCTGACCATTTTGAAGCAAAGCAAAACAATTTATTAAAACTAGTTAAAAAATAAAACTTTACCTTGCATTTGTGCAAAAATCATATCACCCAGTTTGCTTTCTTTTTCTTTCGATAACTTAGTTCTTACTTTGGTTTTGAACGTCATCATTACAAAGACCTGCCTCTCTGGAGATGTTAAAAGGACTATACCAAAATGTAAGGCCACTTCCAGTGCCCAGATGGGTCCTGACACAGAGAGGGTGCTCAACAGATATTGGTTGGATGATTGAATTCATCCAAGCAGCTCTAAGAGATCACATGCAGTTTCAACTGAAGAGCTGGAAACTTGCCCATCTTATATCCCAGTTGGTTGGCTTGAAAGGCTTAATTATGAGCAAAATGCTTAGGTTTGGATGCTATTGTAGTCCCTTCAAGACTTTGTAAAAAGCCTTTGTGTGTGTGTGTGTATGTGTGTGTGTGTATTTCCCAAAGGGAGAAAACAGCACAAACTATTTAAAAGTGAAGTTGAATTCATTTTGCCCCTGCAACCAGGAAAAACATCAATTTTATTTTTCTTAATTAGAAGTTCACACATTTAAGTAGTTCATATGTTCTCTCTATTCTTTACCCCCTGCAGTATTTCTGGAGAGGAGAGTCTTCGCTTCTAGTTTATGTGGAGCATTGATGCAGTAAGCAAGTAGACACTTTGTGCATTTAACTCTAGAATTTAGGTTCTGGAGTATGCTATGGTTTAGTAGGGTTATGGAGTTGCTATTGAAGATCTTGCTGTGAATCTCAGGGACCACTGGAAACCTATTCTTGACCCTGCTCCTTAGTCTTCTCTCTCAACACTGTATCATCTCTGTATTTAAATTATCTGTGCTAATGGAGCTGACTGGCTAATTCTGTCCCGTTAGCATCTGAAACTAACAATGTATTTCTCATCTCTTGTTCACAGAGGGACCTGTCAGGGCACAAGAATATTGTGGGTTACATTGATTCTAGTATCAACAATGTGAGTAGCGGTGATGTATGGGAAGTGCTCATTCTGATGGACTTCTGTAGAGGTATGTATATGAACCATACCCTTAAGCTGTCATTTCTCTAGCATTTTGATTGTCAAGGTTGGGGGAGTCATTTCACTTAATGTGCACTGTACCGTATGGTATGTTCTGGTTTTACAGATGAGAAAACTAAGGTTAAAAAGATACAGTCTGCTGTCAACTCTTGGTTATTCTTATAATGGCACAAACAATTTAAAGTGTAGGCAATGTAAAACTCCATTTTCATTGGGTTTAGGAAGGTTTGGTATTTGTATATAAATGAGAATGGGTAAGAATGAGAATGAATATGTTCTTTGTGATGCTTTATAACAAATGATGAAGACACATAATAAAGACCCAGCTCCAGATGGACAAAAGAAACAGGGCAGCTTCCCCAACTCCCTCACTTGTGTGTTCTCTTTCCCACTTATGCCATCATTCTTGTGTTATGGGGTAAAAGAATCCTTTTCATCTAATGGAAGTGACCCTTGTGTCCTTGCTCTAAAGCTATAATTCCTAGTAAGGTGAGACTATATTCAAATGATGCAGCTGTTAACAGTTGAGTAAAGTCATTGAAATCTTGAAATTTCAAAAAACATTTATCTTGGGAAATTCAGACTGTAGCATGATTTTTTTCAGAGTTAATTGCATTTTATATAACCATTGCTTGGAGGTTTGGCTTAGGTCCATGCCTTACTATTTGGTGCTGTGTTTTGTACTCACCCTCAGTTCCATTAACATTTTCTCTATGCTTAAGATACTATCCATAAATTAAATATGTTGCTAATCACAAAAATGTGATGTTAACCAGTAATTTCAGCCCTTACTGTATTAGCTATTTACCTGATTTCTTAAAGTATTACCAAATTTGAACTTAACTATTTGTTTCCTCCTGCTCATTCCTTTTTTGGATACTAAAATGTTTAGAGATCAGGCAGTAGGAGCATCCAGGCATCTGGATAATTTTGTAAGTGAAGTCATCAATCTTTTGGTCCTAGAGATTAATTGTTGGTGGCCAAGCAGTAAGTAGTGAAGCCAGAGAGACTAAGCTGTTTCTGAAGTTCAGACTATCAAACCATCTTCTTCCTGTTCCCTGGACCTATTGTGCCATCTGATTCTTACTAAAAGATATGGCAAGTTGAGGCTGTGGCCATGTCTCATACACAACGGTCGCAGTATAACCAGGCAACTACAACAGGACCATATTGTCAGTTCTACTCATCTTGAAGACATAATGAGGGCAGCTCACATCTGGGGTGCTTTATAAAATAAAGAAACTGTTTTTGATGCATTGGAGGAGACACTGAATCGTAAGAAAACAAATCCCAAGCTGGGAGTCAAGACAGGTAGGTTTTAATCCTGGATCAGTCAGTGGTCAGCTCTGTTACCTTAGTCCAGACCGCTTCTCTCTGGACAGCCGTTCATTCTCTTAGACTAACTGACAGGTCTGAGTGTTTATACCTCTCCTTTGTGCTGTACGTACCCCTCAGGTGGCCAGGTGGTGAACCTGATGAACCAGCGCCTGCAAACAGGCTTTACGGAGAATGAAGTGCTCCAGATATTTTGTGATACCTGTGAAGCTGTTGCCCGCCTGCATCAGTGCAAAACTCCTATTATCCACCGGGACCTGAAGGTACAGACCACGCTCTTTCATTGAGTGCATTCTTACCGAGTATTTTCTGTCTGCCCCAGGGATGGAGGAGATACTGTGAGGATAGGCGAGAAATTTAAGGTATGGTCCCTGTTTCTATGCTTATCTTCTGCCTGAGGAGAGAAAATATAAAGGAAAAGGTACAGTACAGGTATAAGTTTTATTACTTAAGAAGCCTCCAGAAATTCTTCATAATTATCAAATGCCTGAGCCTGTGTTGTTTTTGTTTTTCCTGACATACTCCCCCCACTTTTCCAGGATTGTGAAAAACAATACTTTTAATTAAATACTTAGTAAACATGATGCTTGGTTTTTAAAGTCTTATTTCATATTTTGCAAAATCCACTAATTGATTTTTTTAATTGTCCTAAGTGCCATCACCATGCACCATGCCTTTCACATTGTAGTCACTTGACAGTGTTTGTTGAATGGAATTGGCACCTTGTTAGGGTTCAACTTAGCATGTATTGAGCACCAGTTGTGTGCCACGTACTCTGCTACATCTTATGTACAGTATCTCTTCAGAGGGAGACATTCTCTGTTACATTTTATAGTTGAGGAAACTAAGGAGCAGAGAGGTTATGTGACTTGCCTAAGATCATATAACTAGGAAGGACAGGGCCAGAATTTGAATCCAGCCCTTTAGATTCTAAATTACAATTCTTTTCATTCTACCTGTGTTTCAGGAAGCATGCTTCATAGCTAGTAACTGGAATCACCATGCACTGGAATCACCATGCCATCACCATGCACTGTGCATTTCATATTGTAGTCTTATTTCATATTTGCAAAATCCACTAATTGATTTTTTTTTATTGTCCTAATTGCCATCACCATCCACCATGCCTTTCATATTGTAGTCACTTGACAGTGTTGAATGCAATTGGCACCATGTTAGGGTCAGCCTCCCCTAGCATGCTTGTTAAATGCAGGCTGCTAAGTTTCACACTGAATCTCTTGGGCTAAAATTTTGATAGTGATGTCAGGGAACCCCGAGAAGCCATAGCTTAATACGAACACCAGGTGGTTTCTGTATACTCTAAAAGTTTAGACTAAAGCAGCATACTTGCATTACTTTTATTTCTTAACATTTTAAAAAAATTGAGACATAATTCACCTACTATAAAATTTAGTCCTTTAAAGCATATAATTCAGGTCAGGAGTGGTGGCTCACGCCTATAATCCCAGCACTTTGGGAGGCCAAGACAGGCAGATCACCTGAGGTCAGGAGTTTGAGTCTAGCCTGGCCAACATGGCGAAACCCCATCTCTACTAAAAATACAAAAATTAGCCGGGCGTGGTGGCACAGGCCTATAGACCCAGCTACTCAGGAGGCTGAAGCATGAGAATCACTTGAACCTGGGAGGAAGACGTTGCAGTGAGTGGAGATAATGCCAGAGCACTCCAGCCTGAGCAACAGAGCGAGACTCTGCCAAAAAAAAAAAAAAAAAAAAACACACCTATGTAATTCAGTTTTTAGTATACTCATAAAGTTGTGTAACCATCACTACCATCTAATTCCAGAACATTTCATTATCCCCAATAGAAACCCTGCATCCATTAGCAGTCATTCCCTAGTCCCCCTCTCTTTGCCTCTCCCCTACCAACACCCAGTCTACTTTCTGTCTCTATATTTTCATGTTCTGGACATTTTATATAAATGGAATCATAATATATGACCCCTTCTGTCTTTTTCCCTTAGCATAATGTTTTCAGGGTTCATCAATGTTGTAGTAAGTATCAGTACTTCACTTTCATAATTTCATAATATTCTGTTGTATGGATGTATCACATTTTGTTTATCCATTCATTCACTGATGAAAATTTAGTTGTTTTCACTTTTTGGCTATTATGAATAGTAACGCTGCTATGAACGCTCATATACCAGTTTTTGTGTGGACATATGTTTTGAATTTTTCTAGGTATAGACCTAGGGCTAGATTGCTGGGTCATATAGTAACCCTGTGTTTAATTTTTTGAGGAACCTTCAAACTGTTTTCCAAAGTAGCTATGCTGTTTCACATCCATCAGCAATACATGAAGGTTCCAGTTTCTCCACATCTTTACCAACACTTGTTATTGTCCTTTTTTATTTTAGCCATCCTAGTGGATATGAAGTGGTATATCCTGGCATTTCTGTACTAAGGCAGTTAGCTTACAGGAGAATAAGTATATACCTCCGAAAGCCTTAGATAGCTTTCTCAAGTATACCTCTGCCTACAGTCAGCCCTTTTTTTCTGAGTAGAAATAGAGGAATGTGGCTGGGTGCGGTGTCTCACGCCTGTAATCCCAACACTTTGGGAGGCTGAGGCAGGTGGATCACCTGAGGTCAGGAGTTCGAGACCAGCCTGGCTAACATGGCAAAACCCCATCCTTACTAAATACAAAAAATTAGCTGGACGTGATGGCTGGTGCCTGTAATCCCAGCTACTTGGGAAGCTGAGGCAAGAGAATTGCTTGAACCCAAGAGGTGCGGGTTGCAGTGAGCCGAGATTGGTCACTGCACTCTAGTCTGGGTGACAGAGTGAGACTCTGTCTCAAAAAAAAAAAAAAGTGGGGTGAGGGCAGGGAATGCATGTTGTTGAATATTTATTACAAGCTTAGCATAGTACAAGTACATAGTTCCATGGGCATGGGACAGAGATAACATTGTTCCTACCCTCAAGATGTTCAAAGTAAGAAGATATCAATGAAATATTTAGACTTGAAACAAATAGATGAAATATAAAACTCTATAGAAGAAAATGATGAATAGAAGATAATCAAGGAATTTAATGTATAGCCAGATAGTAGGATCAGGCAATGGTGATTGAAATTCTCTAGAAAAGCGGGATTTTGAAGGCCTGATAGGAAATGAGTGATCATAGAGGGGATGAAGAACATTCTGGGCAGAGAGCAGAGCAGAGGGCTGCCTGCAAAAGGGAACAGCAAGGTGTGTGGGGATGAGAAGGTGGGTCAGGGCCCCAGTATGTGGCCAGTTGCAGACCAGGCTAGAGTGACCGCAGGCATTGCTCTGAATATGCATTGACACTATTCCTAGTTGCCTTTATCAATGAGTAAAATTTTTGTTTAAATCCTGTTAGCATGTATTTCAGAACAGGCAGTGGTACCAAATCTTAAAGGCCTGACCTCTGCCCTTGCTGCCTGCCTTGGAGAAGAGTGTGAGAGGCATAGAAATAGGAGAGAAATGTTGCTGGTGAGCACCGCTCTGATGATCCATGTGATCTTGCACCTCTGTGTAGCCCGTTCTGCACCCCTTCCATGTTGAATGGGGTAGGAGTTCATCTGTGAACTCTGATTCTGCACCACCGTGTGACTGATACTGACAGAATTACAAGTGCTGTGAGAGGTGAGCATAGGCAGCTTCCTCCGTCTTGCCAAATGCAGAGGACATTTTCCAGTCCCTGTCTTATTCTCTCTGTGGCCTCTGGCTCTTTTGTGACTGTCTCTCCCTTGACCTCTGTAACAGTGTCTTCTCCCCGGCTCCTTTTTCCCAGGCTCCTTGGCTTTCTTCTCAAATTGCTAGCCTCTCTGAGCCTAGTTTCGTCATCTATAAAGTGGAGCTAACAGCACCTGCTCTGTTAGGGTGGTGGTAAGGTTGAATGAGGGAGTATGTGTCAGTCTCTAGGCACATCCTGGCACAGTAAATGCCTGAAAGGGTTCAGAGGTGAGGACAAGGGGAACAGGCAGAGGGGCACAGAGGATCCTTCTAGAAAGAAGTATTCCCATGTTCTCAGCATCTTTGTTTATATTAACTTTTTTTTTTTTTTTTTGAGATGAAGTCTTGCTGTCTTGCCCAGGCTGGAGAGCAGTGGTGCAGTCTCGGTTCACTACAGCCTCCACCTCTCGGGTTCAAATGATTCTCATGCCTCAGCCTCCTGAGTAGCTGGAATTACTGGCGTCTGCCACCTTGCTTGGCTAATTTTCGTATTTTTAGTAGAGATGGGGTTCTACCATGTTGGCCAGACTAGTCTCGAACTCAAGTGAGGCCTTGGCGTCCCAAACTGCTGGAATGATAGGCATGGGCCACCATGCCCAGCCCCGTTTATATTAGTTTTTAAACACTTGCTGGATTAAATGAAGCCTGAATGATAATCATTTCATACCAGTACATACAGCTGCCCAGCTTATGTAGTTCCAGGATAGCACTGCCTGGTGACATTCCCCGTGCTACAGTGAGGTGCTAGGTCAGCATCACCCAGTGATGAGGCCTTGGGGACAGAGCTCAGTGTCTTGCTTGGGACTCTGAGTAGGTCAGTGGGAGGGCCAAGGCAGCGGGCCCCAGCCTCCTCCTTCACTGTGCTGAACAGCGCACGAGATGTTTCAGCCAGGGGATAGGGAGCAAACAGGAATGAAAGGCTGAGGCAGCAGCATGAGTGAGAGGTTACCAGGCTCCGTTCCCCAGCCAGCCCTCAGTGCTTTACCCTTTATACCTCTGTGCTCCTAAGTGGGAGACAGCACAGTACTGGGCACACAGTAGTTGGCCTTCTGTATCCACAGGTTCCCAATCTGCAGATTCAAACATCTGCAGGTGGAGAATACATACAGTTGCCCCCTGTATCTGTGGGTTTTGACACATGGTTGGTTGCATGGAGGGAGATGTGAAACTGCAGATAAGGAGAGCTGATTTTATTGGACTCTGTGGTTGTGTTTTCATTAGTATTGAAGATCATCAGGCATGCTGCTGATTTGCTCACTGTGGTTCAGGAGACTTTCTCCTTACTTTGGATATAGGGACTCATGGGAAGAGGCCTGGATTGTGATTGTTGCAGAGAAGTCCTGGTCGCTGTTGTTTTTAGTCATTGACTACCCAGATCTTACACTTGATGCCACCTAGATGCTTTCATTAGTAGGTTAGATTTTCATGCTCTCTGCTAGTATGTCCATGGTGGGCAGTTACAGTTGCCTGCTGCACCTCCAGCTTCCCAAGGTCTAAGTGAAAAGTCCCCAAGTTCTCCCGTTCACCCTGGCTCTGTCATTGT